GACACTGTAAGTATTGAGTTATCTTGACACTATTGTTGAAATTCCATTAACTATATATATGTGGATATTATTTGTGGATGCTATTTTGTTCCATTGATCTATACATCTCTTCTTTTCTTTAATTTTTTAATATTTATTTTTTAAGAGAGAGAGAGAGGCAGAGTGCGAGCAGAGGAGGGGCAGAGAGAGAGGGACGCACAGAACCTGAAGCAGGTTCATGGCTCTGAGCTGTCAGCACAGAGCCTGATGTGGGGCTGAAACTCACAAACTGTGAGATCATGACCTGAGCAGAAGTTGGATGTTCAACTGACTGAGCCACCCAGGTGCACCTCTCTTCTTTATACCACATATTCTTGATTACAGTAGCTTTATAGTAAGTCTTGAGATCAGCTAGTGTAAGTTCTTCAAAAATTTTTTTTCTGGCTATTCTAGAGCCTTTGCATTTCTACATAAATTTTAGAATCAGCTTGAAAGTTTATACCAAAAATGCTTGTTGAATATCAATTGGGATTGCATTGAATTGATAGATCAATTTGAGGAGAGTTGACATTTAGACAATTTAAATTTTTGGGTTTATAAACATGAATATCTTATCCTCTTATGAATATCATTTAATTTTTCTGCAGGATGTTTGTAATTTTTAGATTGCATATACAAAATTTTTAAGTTTACCCTCCTTCTCGAAATAGAAAGTAAAAAATGATCATGGAAACTTGGTACCATCATGAGTGATATTAAGTATAGAGATTCTTGTCACATTACCATTTAATTCTGTAGTTTGGCCAGAATGAAAGATAGCTATCTTGGAGAATGATGACAGATGAATCAACTAGTTACTCTATTTACACCAATGTTCCATATGTGGTCTTAATATTGGGATCTTATAAATGTTTTCTTTTTTCTATGTTAAAATATAGAAGATACCAAAAGAATTAGTTTTTCACTAACTGAATCAACTAGTTCCTGGGGCTCAGGCCATTTCATAGGACATCATACTAATTCATTACATTGATGATATCAGGTGATAGGACAAGAAAATTTGCTTATATGGTAGGTTCTTTAGAGTATATGTACTTATGAAAACACAGGAGTCTGTATTTTCACAAAAAGCAGTACGTTTTTTTTGAATCCAAGAGTCCTGGCTGTGAAAAGTTAGTTACCTTCACAAACAATGAACTCTTCAATGTTTAATGGGCCTGTTTACATTTTGGAGGCAATTTTTTCCACATTTTGGAGTACTGCTCATTCTATTAACTGGATGACCTAAAAAGCTGCTAGCTTTAAGTAAGGCCTGAGCAAAAGAAGAGCTCTGTTTGACCCAGACTGCAGTGCAAACATCTCAAACTCTCAATTCTTGTATCCAAAGGAATCCGAGTTTGCTTAAAGTGCCTATGGAAGATCAGAATGCTATGGCAGGCAGTGATAAGAGAACTGTGGAGAAGACTCATACCTTTGATTTGAGAGGTAGCTAGGATTGAAATCTGGCTCACTTCACTTTCTGTTTCATGGCTCCCCCCATCACCAAGGAAGCTCTTAGGAGCTTGCTTGGTCCGAGTTCATGCACAGCTCCTTCTGCCTTTCTTCTTCTGCTGGACAAGTTTGTGATACATTCTATAAATTCATCAAGAGGTACCAGCGTAATAGAGTGTCTCAATGCCCTACAACCAAAGACCACCAAGAATATATCTGATGTTGAACAAGTTGAGCTTATTGCTTGTTGCAGACAGAGACAATGTACCACACAGGGAACTGTGGGACATTTATGTAAGAGGCAGTTAGAAACTACTAACAAATTGTTAGCTGTGTTAGGTATTCTGGAGGATAGTTCAAGACAACAGTGTTTTACTCAGGTTTGGATGTGATCAGGAAGCAAAGATAATTCTATGATTGGCTATCTTATATCTTATCTATAAGTGGGAGGAATGAAATGAGGTTATATTTGTAACTGGTAAAGAAATAGCAGTCACTCATATTAGCAAGATTAGGGAGACCCTTGGTTGATTTTAATGGTTTGGGCAATATTTCATGTTTTATCTGTTTTTAGATACAATTATGAAGTGACTTTTTTTGTACTAATCTGTTACAATCAGAGTGGCCTTGGCCTTGTCTGATGTCAATGGTATGTAAAATTATTTTTGCCCAATAGGAGAACCTAGCTGTGAGTGTCAGGCCAACTCTTAGCAAAACCAAAGTCTAGCTGATGGTTCCAGGCCAATCCTGTCCGTTGTTTCTCTCTCTCTGTTAATTAATGCTGTTCGCAGCATTAATCTCAATAACACCTCTTTATATTGGTCTTTTATTCTTCCTTGTCTCATTCTTCTTGGTTCTTCACCTGTAGTCCTTGGAATGGAAAACTGGCTGACTCCACTTTCTCTTAGTCTGTACCTTTATTCATTTCCAGGCATAATAATTCAAACTAAGACACTTGTAGGGGAAAAATATCTTAAGTGTTATTCTCCTTTTGGATGAGGGCAGTTCAGGGTTGATACCTGGTAGCGGTTTTTTTGTGATGGCCATGTAAAAAGCATGCAGCATCTGTCAGGGCATGGTGATTGAGGACCAGACACCTACCACATCCCACATCCTTCCAGATGCCCTGTTCTTACATAGATCTCTAGAATGAAACTATAACCATGGAAAAGAAAAAAAGAATAAAAGTAGGGAAATTCTAATTTTACTAAGGAAAAAAATTAGAATAAACTAAGAGTATCATGTTTTGGCTAATAATGTGTTTCTACCAGTAAAAAAGCTTAAGAGAGAAAGTAAGTTCAGTGATCAAGAAAATAAAGAAAATCCCAATTTTGTGGCTCGATAATTCAAATTTATAATTAGAAGTATTGGCAGTAGCCAGATGAGGCATGATCTAAGAAAGAGGAAAGAGGAAACCCAGGTTATTTAAATATCTTATGTATACTTCTTCACATATGCAAAATTTTTCTACAACAAATATGTATTACTTTTGTACCCATGACTGCCATTAACTTGTACTATAATTATTATTACTAAATTTATCCTAATAGAATTGTTACTGATGAAAACACTTAAATTTGTCTTTTTGATATATTCTCAGCAAATAATACCATCTCATACTATGAAACTGAGAATTCTTGGTCTTTTTACAAACTGTTGAAAGTAAGAAACAAATTTCATGCCTCTTGGCCATATATATCATTGGTAGTTGTAGAATGGACCCATGCTTATTTGTAATCAAATCTGTGATCACATAGATCACATGACATTAAGCAAGTAGCAGTTCAATGGCAATATCCTAAGTTATTGTGGGAAGATAGATAGATACTTAAATAGGTCAAATAGGAAATGTTATGACATTCACTTTTGTGGGCAGTGGAGGCAGGGAGAATCTATTGTAACTTCAACCAGGAATTGTCTCTTGCTACCGAAAGTGTCATTCAACCAATTCCCCCTTTCCATTTCCACAGTTATGTGGAAAGCCAGGTTCATGCAGGGGCTGAAGCAGAGGGTTCTGTCTACTGTCAGAGGACAGATTGATCAGGAGAAATACTGAGTGTTACTGTTGGGTGCAGAGTATATAAGCAGGAATCAGAACCTTCCCCCGTAATCAGCTAATGCATACCCACCATCTAATGATTCAGAAAGTGAGCATTCAAAGGCTAAAATGAAAAGAAAGAGCGCTAAGACCCCAACACAGTGCATTAGAGTGGGACAAGAATAACAAGGGGTAGAACGCACAGAAAGGACAGAAATGACATCAGTACTAAACTCTCAGCTGGTACTAATAGTTATCTGAAGGCCAGTATGACTGAGAAATTGTGAAGTATATGTACAGATTTGGAAGACACAAAATAAAGATTCCAGTATACCACCAATCTAATCAATATCATTATAAAGATAAGTTACAAATTGGGAAAATATTGACCACAAAGCAGTTATTATATTTTTCTTTCTGAGTATGTGCCTAGTGTTGTGCTGAGGAGTTTATATGCCTTGGTATGTGTGATTCTTACAACACTTTGAGGTAGGTACTGTTATTTCCCTTATTTGGAGGAGACCTGACGTTCAGAAGCACCAAATAATGTAATTATAATCCTGCAGCAGACTGTTGGCAGGGCTGGCTTCAGACCCAGATGTCTGACTCCAGAGTCTGCATTCTTAATCACTGTGTAGACTGTCTTTTCAAACTCTCCAAAGGTCATCATCAAATATTTTGTGAAAACCGACTGGAAACCCATCATTATCTATAGCATATTCCTCAGAGTTTTGAGAGTATGGCTGGATGGAGAAAACGTTAGAGTGAAGATTCAGCATCTTGCAACAGATTTTTGTTGTTGTTGTTATTTGCAAATTAGCAAGGTATGGAACATTTTCAGGTACTGATATTTGTGGATAACCGGGTCATATGAACAGATGAGCAGTACCAAATATTAAATGACAGGTTCTGATGCCTAGACCAACAGGGACAGTAATTGAATTCTATCTTAACAAGCTTCTTCTCTCTCTGGGGAAGCTACATTTCACACTTCCACAGCATGAAATGTTACTACAGAGGTTCTTAATAGCTGGTAAGTGTAGACCTAGATTGAAAGGTTGTGCAGTGAATAAATTTGTTTTGGAATCAAATAAATATCACTTAAATTTGGAAATAGATACACTATAGAAGGTTATAAGGCAGTAAAATAAGCACCCAAAATATGAGAATGCTATTTATTTTTTTATTTTTATTTTTTTAAATGTTTTATTTATTTCTAGAAGAGAGAGAGAGAGAGAGCAGGCGAGGGTCAGAGAGAGAGGGAGTGACAGACTCTGAAATAGGCTCCAGGCTCTGAGCTGGCAGTCAGCACAGAGCCCGACGCGGGGCTCGAACCCACAAACCGCGAGATCATGACCTAAGCGAAAGTCGGACGCTTAACCGACTAAGCCACCCAGGCTCCCCGAGAATGCTTTTTATAATTTCGTTTGAAAATCTGTTTGGAAATCAGTGAATATTTTGCAGAAATAGGAACATCTTTTGCATTTTTTCGCTGAGTTCAATTTTTAATATTTAATTTTTTATATATACATATAAGTGAGGTCATATAGTATTTGTCTTTGTCTATTAGCAATAATCGTGCCTCGGATAAACCTCATTGGCTATAATAGTGCTATCGCACAAAGTTGTATTTGTCTTTGTCTGATTTTTTTCGTTTAATATAATGACCTCAGAGCTCATCCATATTGTTCCAAATGGCAAGATTTCCTCCTTTTTTAAATATACAGCTGAATTATATACAGATATATGTGAACTATACTATATATATATACACATTATGCTGTATATGTATATATACATTATATATATTATACATTATATACATACTATACACACACACACACACACACACATATATACACTTGTATACATATATATGCCATTATTAATTCTTTTATCCATTGACAGACTCTTAGGTTGTTTCTGTGTCCTGTCTATTGTTTTTAAGGCATCAATAAACATGCAGATGTAAATATCTTTTTGAGATACTGATTTCATTTACTTTGGTTATGTACAGAAAAGTGAGATTGTTGGCTCATATTGTAGTTCTACTTTTAAATTTTTTAATGTTTGTTTATTTATTTATTTATGTATTTATTTATTTATTTATTTATTTTTGAGAGAGAGAAAGAGACAGAGCACGAGTGGTGGAGGAGCAGAGAGAGAGGGAGACACAGAATCCAAAGCAGGCTTCAGGCTCTGAGCTGTCAGCACAGAGCCCAACATAGGGCTTGAACTCATGAACCATGAGATCATGACCTGAACTGAAGTCAAACTCTTAACTGACTGAGTCCCCCATACACCCCTACTTTTAATTTTTTGAGGAACCTCCAAACTGTTTTTCCATAGTGGCTATGCCAATTTACGTTCCCACCAACAATGTACAAGAGTTCCCTTTCCTTCACGTTCTTGCCAACACTTACCTGTTGCCTTCTTTATGGGTGTAAGGTGGTATCTCATGGTGATTTTGATTTGCATTGCACTGATAAGTAGTTACGTTGAGCATCTTTTCATGTACCTGTTGGCCATCTGTATGTCTTCTTTGGAAAAAGGTCTATTCACAACTAATATCACATGTGATGGTGAAAAACTGAGAGCTTTCACTCTAAGGTCAGGAGAAGACAAAGATGTCTACTCTCACCACTTTTATTCAGTACAGTACTAGAAGTCTTAATCATAACAATCAGACAGGAAAAGGAAATAAGAGGCATCCATATTGGTAAGAAAGAGGTTAAACTGTCACTATTTGCAGATGACATGATACTATACATAAAAAAACCCTAAAGATTCCACCCAAAAAATTTTAGAAGTGAATAAATTCATAAATGAATTCAGTAAAGTTGCAGAATACAAAATTAATATCTAGAAAATCAGTAGCATTACTATCTACTAATTAAGTAGCAGAAAGACAAATTAAGAAAACAATTCCATTTACAATTGCACCAAAAAGTGTAAAATACCTAGGAATAAACTTAACCAAAGAGGTAAAAGAGCTGTACTCTGAAAACTATATAAAATATTGATGAAAGAAATTAAAGATGACACAGAGAAATGGAAAACATTCCATGCTTATAGATTGTAAGAACTGATATTGTTAAAATGTCCATACTACCCAAAGCGATCTACATATACAAAGCAATCCTTATCAAAATACCAACAGAAATTTTCACAGAACTAGAACAAACAATATTAAAGTTTTTTTGGAACCACAAAAGACTGAATAGCCAAAATAATCTTAAGAAAGAACAAAACAGGAGGTATTTCAATTCCAGATTTCAAGATTATACTGTAAAGCTGTAGTACTCAAAACAGTGTAGATACATAGATCAATGGAGCAGAATAGAGACTCCAGGGATAAACCCACATGTATGTCATCAATTATTCTGTGACAAAGGAAAGAAGAATATACATTGGGTAAATGACAGCCTTTTTAATAAATGGTGCTAGAAAACTGGACAGCTACATGCAAAAGAATGAAATTGGACCACTTTCTTAAACCATACACAAAAATAAACTCAGAATGGTTTGAAGACTTGAATGTGAGACCTGCAACCATAAAACTCATAGGAGAGTACATTGGCAGTAACTTCTTTGACACTGGCCACAGCAACTTCTTTCTAGATATGTCTCCTCAAGCAAGGGAACAAAAGCAAAAATAAACTATTGGGACTACATCAAAATAAAAACTGTTTTCTCAGCAAAGGAAACCATCAACAAAAGATCTCCTGCAGTTTTCATTGGTATATTCCTCTCTGGCTTGTCCTGAGGCATAAGAACCACAGAGTCAAATTTTAATAGTTGGGGCTGAGGCAAATCTTTCTTTCTGTGAGGAATAGATGAGAAATAATACAAGATAAATAAACTTTTTCTAATCTAAGTAGATATAATATAGTAGAGTTTATAAATGCCCAGGTTTTATTTTGAAATAAAGTATTATACCTGACCACAGCTTTCTCATTGTAGATTAAAATTAATATTTGACATATCAGATTATTAGATATATCTAATAGTTGATTCCTAGGGCTATCATGGATCATTCTTTTATTCAATGAATATTCATTGAAAGCCTTCAATAGGCCAAGTTCCCTTTTGGTTCTAGGAACCATATACTTGGTCACAAGATAGACAAGGTCGCTTCCCTTTTAGAGCAAAAATTCTCATGGGAAAAATGAGATAGTTTTTAAAATGTAAAACCATATATATCAGAGGGACCTCGAGCTTTTTTGGAATAGGCAGTCAGGGAAGTCCCAGATGGTCAGCAGGAAGCACTGGTGCAAAATCAGTGAAAGAACATCCCAGGCAGGGGAACTGATAGAGCTGACAGTCAAGAACCAAGAAGTAGGGGTGCCTGGGTGGCTCAGTCGGTTGGGCGTCTGACTTCGGCTCAGGTCTTGATCTCATGGTTCGTGGGTTTGAGCCCCGCGTTAGGCTCTATGCTGACAGCTAGCTGAGAGCCTGGAGCCTGTTTCAGATTCTGTGTCTCCCTGTCTCTCTAACCCTCCCCTGCTCACAATGTCTCTCTCTCTCTCTCTCTCAGAAAAAAAAAAAAAGAACCAAGAAGTAGACTGTTCAAGAAGGAGATTGTACAAATAGTAGACTGTTTTATCTAGGTAAAATAACCAGGGGACTACCTAGCATCCCCTCTACTGTTGGTTAAGCTCCAATTCCATCCTTACAAGTAGATCAACTACACATTATTTGGTAACACTCTTTTTATTAACTAGTCACAAAGATGGCAGAAATAACAAAATTGGCTTTCTTGCATAGTGAACAAAAGACTAATCAATGAATGACCTGGAGAAGCTTAGTAATATAACTGTGTCCAGTTTGATAGTTATTAGGTTAATTCTATTAAGTATCAGTTAAAAGTTTGTAGTTAACCTTCTATTAAAATTCTGAAGGAGGAAGAATACGATAAAAATGACTTAGGGCCCAGCTTCTTGTTAGAGCATGTTACTGAGCAAACATGCTACCTAACACACAAGTTAAATGCTGTTTGCTGTTCATGGGGCTTTATTTGGAGGTCCACTCTAGTGAATATTTTTTACAGTTCATTCCAACAGCACTGGCCTAAGCCTGTTATTTCCACCTTGTTGCTCACATGGTTTTACTATGGTGCTGATGTACATAAATGTGGTTGTTTCTGTGGTTTTCTTACAGGTTCTGGAGAGTTACAGATTGTGCAAAAGGTCATAGGTCAGTTTATCTTCCCAGATTATAGAACAAAGCAAAACTCCTCTAAAATGCTGGTCTTAGCAAAATAATCTTGTAAGTTTAGTTTGCCTTTCCATGATTAAAAACAAAGAACAAATAAACAAAAAAACCTCAAAAGTAAGGTCAGAATAATAATCTTGAGCCATTGGAGAAAACAAACAACACACACACACAACATACACAGTCACTAAATTATGCCTGCTGCTCTTATCTCTCTCTTTACAGTATTTCTTAGCTGTGCTTTTTTTTCCCAAAGCCTGAGAACATTTTGCAGTATTTTTGATGGGAGAAAGGATCAAATAATACACTATAGATCTTTAATTCTGCATTTATAATAAGGCCCCAGGGGATGTTGATGCTGCTAGTCTGTGGACCACAATTTGAATAGCAAAGAGAGAGAGCTTTTAAAAATTACTAGTACAGAGACCATGCCTAGAACAGAATCAGATTCATGGTGTATAATGTGGGATGCAAGAATATGCATGTTACAGAAACAATGTGATTTTAATGCAGATAATCCACAGATTATCTAGAGATTGGATGAGCTAGAAGGGAATGTCAATCCTGATTGTATATTATAATCTTCTGCAAATGATGAATGATGAAATATCTGCATTACAGTAGTTTTAAAATGTTTATAGCCTATGATGATGTAAAAAGCTACCGTACTAGGAGTTCATTATATTAAATTATGTCATTGTATTAAATTAATTAAACTGGGTGAGATGTGGGGTATGTGCACACTCTTAGGGGCAACTGCTCATAATTAATCAGTAATTTTTAAAGAAGCTGATAACCCCGAAAACATTACAATTCACTGACTTAAAAAAGTCTAAACTAGAGATGGATTATTTTTTATGAAAAGATCCTTTACAAAATGGTCACACATAATGTAAACTCCTGAGCTCCTCTATTAGGTATAAATGTGATAGTACATCTAATCTTAAATACCATTGATTGTAAGATACACAGTTATGTAATGTATCACTAAAATAAGGAATGCTCCTGATTAAACAATGATATAACACTTATTATAAAATGCATTCTGATTGCAAATATGTTAATAAAGTTTTATAGTATGGTCTAGAATCAATGAAACATGCTATTCAAGTTTAGAAATTCTTTGTCCATAGAACTTTCCAGGAACACGCAGATTATCTAAAGGGAGTTCAGATTTGTATATGTCTCACTCACTTATTTTTCATTGTAATGCTACTATTATGGAAGATATATAGTGAGGGTGATACACCTTTCTAATTTTGTATGTTACAAAAATTGTAGAAATCAGCCTCCTCCATTTTGTTCTATTTTGTTATTTAAATTTAGTTTAATAAAGGTTTAAAGTTTGGTTTTTACAGACAGAAATTCTAAGCATTTTATGAAATAATTACATTTGTAATATATATATGCACA